ATCAATGAGAATATTTTTCTTACTTTTCCAGCTGTGCTCATGCTGTCTCTCCTTGCTGCTGTCCAGAGACTGGTGAGTTCCTGTAGGCTTCTTCCTTCCTCCAATGCACCAGGCCAAGGTTGCACATGGATTTTGTTAGCTGTGGTGTCAGCTGAGTGCACATGTGATCTGGCCCTTTATGACACGCCCTTCTGTTTACTCTTGCAGATACAAAGGGCACTGGCCTGTCAAGGAAAACTTGCTCTAGAGATGTTCTTTGGAGCTCATCTTGTTTTCATTGGGTTCAACATTTCCTTTCTGTTCAATCTCTCCCTCTCTCAATCCTCTCTTTCCCTTTCTCAGTCAGGTTAAGAACTTGGTTTTCCTTTGCAGAAAGAAGCTGTGACATAAAGTCTACTTCGTGGCTAGTAAGGAGGAGAGGCCAGGAAGCACAGCAGAATGAGGAGACAGACAGAGATTAGGGAGGATGGCTTGGCCTCTATTCCTCTTCAAAGAAAGCACCCTCAGGCACAGCGAAGGTGCTGAGGCCCCTGGTATTTCCTCAGCATACACCCCTGGTTAGCATTGGCCAAGAGCCTGTGGCAGGCTGGAGCTGGCCCTAGAGGTGGCAGTCATGAGTAAGAAATGGACTCTAGTCCTGCCAAGAGACAGCAGCTACAGCATGCCCTATTCCCCAACTAAAAGAGACAGAGGCTACAACATGCCCTATTCCTTCTAGCTGAGAGAACTTAGACTTATCTAATGCTCTTTGCCATAGTTTCCTTCTCTGTAAGGTATGGATGAATTAGAGTGTCACGTCAAAGACTGACATGACCAAATGAAACAGTAAGCACATGTGCTCATCATGGATCCACACAGGTAGGAGACAGCTCAGTGAAGTACAGCTACAACCATTGTGCAAGAAAATCGGCTCTCACTGCAGGAGAGAGGTGCACGGGTGTGCTCGTCAGCTATGTTGAGAGTACTAGGAGAGAAAGCATGGTTCTGACTGAGGACTCAAAGGAGGACTGTAGAGAACATGGACTCAAGTTAGTCTAAAGAATGATTGCTTTGGCAAATGAGCCAAAAGTCACTTAAGACGTCTCAGTTGTCCTTTGTTTATTGTCATGGGTTTGGGAACTAGAACATGCATTTGATGTCTATTGAATATCAAGTCATCTGCCAATGTCAGCTAGACATAGTACATACCTCTCGTTATATACACATAGGCTGCCAACACATATACATAAGCATATGTACACTTCTCTAGGGTTGTCAAAGAAACAGTAATGCTGTCTGTACATGTAGAGAGTCAACTAGAAGTCACATGATCTAACAAGATACCTTCTCCAGAGAATGGCTATAACACTCCCCACCCATATTTGTTTATAATGGTCTGCATGGTACCCAGGTATCCCACTAGGTTCAAGTCTCAACAACTATGAGAATCTCACTCACTGGACTGTTGGGTTTACAGAGTAATGTAAGCACATGATTTAGCTATGAAGCACAGATCTGTAAGAAGCTAGTGAGTATCTATTATGCTCCCAAAGCTCTAGTGGGAGTTCTTCCTACATTATTACATGATCTTAAGGGCGACATTACAAGGAAGGTTTTCTCAACCACTTTTACAGATGAGGTAAGAGAAATATTGAGATTCTCTGATGCCCTTATTAATATTTCAAGAACAGAACTGTGGGCACGCTGGTATGAAGGAGAGTTTTATAGTATAAACACAGTAGGCAGATCACAAGAACATCAAAGGATAATGGACCCTGGATTTTAAACAACTGATCATAGGAATAATTCATATTCTCTCCCTCCCTCCTTTCTTCCCTCTCTCCCTCCTTGCCTCCCTCCTCTGTCCCCTCAACACTGAAAGATCTTTAGTGGTAATTTTAACTAGAGTCTATAACTCAGGTGGGTCAGGTATCTAGTTTGGGTTTTATGTCTAGTTCTGACACCTTCAGGAAAAACAATGCCACTTGGTTATTCAATACCAATAGTTAGTCCTGAAAACATACCTACAAGCAACATGTGTGTGCTGAGGAATATTTATTTAACAATGCAAGTATATGTTCCATTTGTTTAAGTATGTAAAATGTGTTGCTTTTGTTCAGGTTGCAGATTACTTGTTCAACTATGTAAAGATGAATTTCTGTTTTACATTGCCTGTCTAAGGCATTTGATTGGTCTAATCAAAATAGAGTTGAGCCCAGAATTTAATATATGTAAAAATGGAAATCCATAATAACAAACAGAGGAAATAAAGAAACCAATAAAAGCAAAGACAGTTCTTGTGGAAGATTATTCTCATTGATAAATCTCTCAGCAGTCAGTCCTGTTTATTAAAATACACAAATAGCAACACCAGTCTTGAAAAACAAGGAAGGGAGCTATATATGGACCAGAGATGCTAAAACACCAGAGGCATTTACAAAAAGCTTTATAGGACAAACTTGACCGATTAAATAAATTGAGCAAATGTTGATGCTAAAAGTTGGCATCTGGTCAAAGGTGAACCAAAACAAAACAAAATCTGGTGAACTCTGTGGCTAATTAAAACATTAAATGTTTATTTCAAAGCTTCATACAAAGTCAACTACTTGCCAGGATAATATGTGTCTTAATTCTAGAAATCTCCTAAAGAGAAATAAACCTATTTTCTCAATATCAGAAAACAAAGTGATTATATGTACTTTCCAATTTATTTGGTAATGTCAGATTGATAGCTGGGATAACTTCAATACTTCAGAGGAAAACTGAAGATTTCGTGAACATAGAAATAAAAATCTTAAAGGAAATACTGACAGCTCATACTTGGCAATATATAAAATAATTAATCTATAACCGAATAGACTCTACATGGGGAATTCAAAACCTTAACGTTTAAATGTTAATGTAACTCAACACAGAATGCATGTAACATATAACAAAACAGAGGCAAGATGCTTTAGGCCATCCTCATAGATGAAAGTAGAGTTTGCTAAAAATGTAATTTCCATGCATGACTGCAAAATTCAAACTTGGAAAAACCTAGTGGTATCAACAAAGCTCATATTAAATTATTCAATGCCTGTTTTTGGCACCAAGATAAGTAATTCTACTCTCAGAAAGTTGATGTTTCCTCAGGGAAGGCATTCAAATGAGTGCAATAGAGAACAATAGAGCAGCAGATGAAACAAAAAACAACTGGACAGGAAGATTAAGGATTCCTTTCTAAGGGATGACATCATTGTGATGTGTGAGGGTATGAAGTTGCTTTTCTAAGTGATGACATCATTGTGCGGTGCTGAGGGTATTAAGTTGCTTTTCTAAGAGATGACGTCATTGTGATGTGTGTGGGTATGAAGCTGCTTTTCTAAGTGATGATGTCATTGAGATGTATTCAAGGTATGAGGCTGGAGTTCACATACAGCACTGTTGGATGTGTAAAGAGGTCCAATTACTAGAAAATAGCCTTGCATTGTTTTGTAATGTTCAATTTTCACACAGAATACAAAGTAGAAATTCCCTTAGTTATTTATATGAAAAGAATAAAAATATGTCTGCAGTGCTAACAGTGATTATTTCAAATGACATGCCCATCCTCTAGGGCAGATATACATTTCTTGTAATAAATTCAGTGGGATACTACCTAGTTTATTTCTAGAATTTTCATGTAATATTGTGAAACTATTATTGATCCTGTGTAACTAAAGCTATGGAAGACAGCAGGAAGACAAGACCCAGGGTTAGGCAGTAGGGTGGGCTCGGGAAGGAGGGTTTCATGTAAATTATAGAATGGGGAGGGCATGGAGGGAATACTGTGTCTTGTTTGTGGATGGTTAATTGTATTGTGGTCAATGTTCATTGAGTTGTACAACTAAAATGAATATATATTTATGTGGAAAGTTGATGTGAGAAGTAAATTAAAATTTAAGTTATCATAGACATGCAAAGCTCCAAGACCCCAGACTTGGAATTCATTCATACTCCTTGAAGTATCCAAGCTATCGGACAGAGAATAATGTGGTACCATGAAGAGCCTTGGGCTCCATCTTTTTCTTTATTTATACTTATTTGAACATTTAAGGGGAAATAATTTTCAACTTTTTATTGCAATGCAATATTTTGCTGTTACTCCATTAGCGTTTGCTTTCTTAAAGCTTGAATCTACTCAAAAGAGAGATGAAGTCCTGAAGTTGTTGGACTGTTAATTCTTTCATCATTCATTCTTTACTCCATATATTCCTCTCCTTCTACTTAGACAAAGCATTACAGGAGGATATTGATTTTAACTTGAGAGTGAGTAACACATTTAGTTTGTGATGATAGTGATCTAGTTTAAAGCTGCTGGACACCGTGAAGGTAACTACAGTCCCTGGCTGTGGAACTGTGCAATCCAGGTGTGGGGTAAATCAGAACCAAGGTTTACATAAGCAGGATCCTCCATGTTCTGTTTTCTTCTACTGAAAGGGCAATTTCTCAATATTTGCTATCAGAGTAAATACCTTAAGAATTTCTTGCTTGGATGCACTCTAACACAGCTGTGGATCAGGATCCAAATATTTCCATTTATCATGTAACCCAGGGTATTAAAAAAATTCTGCTAATGCCTGATATTTTCCAGTAAGTGGCTAAGTTAAAAACAACAATAAATCCTAATAAAAAGATATTAGTATACATATTCCTACTTATAATTTGACAGAAAGATGTAAGTCAGTATTGTGGTACATTTCATGTGTTCTTATACAAACTACTTCACCTGTTTTTGCTTCAGCTGCCAAGACCCACATTACTACAAATTTATACAAATGCGACTCCAATGTACTGGCCACTTTCAAATCTTTTAGCAAGTACTTAACAGAACCACCAACACTAAGTAAGTACTTATGCATTGTGTAACATAGGCTTTGATTCCCTCTGTTTCAGCTACAGACTGTAATTTCCTCTGGATTCTACCAAATCTTACAGATGGCATTGTCACCAACCTTTGCACTTCTAACACAAGGGCTTACAGAGCCACAAAGGCACGAGGATTTAGTTAAGTGTTTTATTGTGTTGTGCTTTTCGGTGATAGCACTAAGATAGGCAACAGCCATACAGCTGGTGGTAGTGAAGCAGCATCAAGTTCAGTTCTGTAAGCTCAGAGCTTTCTGTCAAGGAAGACGTAGTAACTGGTCTGCCCTGCTTTTCATAGAGCTTGTCCATCGGCTTTGGATGTGGGTGACGTTTGTCTACCCAGGGTGATCCTGCAGGTACACATCTCAGCTAGGACATGTGAGAGAGGAAGGGGAGTTATTAGTGATAACTTTGTCACAATTGTCATGGTCAACCCAAGACACAAGGCTATCCCACTGTCACAGTGATACACATGTTTTATGTGACAATGAGCTTAGCCATCATCACATATATATCGTTCCGGATTCCTCAAATGAATAGCATGATAAACAAAAAGTCAGTACCCCTACTAGCACAAACAGAAGTGAAAATTCAAAGGGTGACATTTTGGAATCTGGCAAAAGTTGAAGCTTGGCACTCTGGCCTTTCATTCAGTTATGTCCCTTCATTCCACTTTTGCCTCCCACAGTGCTGAGCTCCTAAGTGCTTCCCCAGTCCCTAGAAATATCAAGCATAGTCTCTCACCTCTGTCTCCACTCAGTCTCATTCACCACTTACTTTTTAAAGATTTATGTATTATGTGTACAGTGTTCTGCCTGTATGTTTCCCTGCACACCAGAAGAGGACACCACATTTCATTACAGATGGTTGTGAGTCACCATGTGGTTACCGGGAATTGAACTCAGGATCTTTGGAAGAGAACAGCCAGTTATCTTAACGTCTGAGCCATCTTTCCAGTCCCTTCCCCCAGTTACTTTCATTTTGGCAGAGGTCATCTGAGAATTCTATACCTGTAGTCCTTTAAAGTGGACATTTAACTCACCTTATCTTTCTCCCAAGTCATGTGCTATGGACATGTCCCCAACCTCAGCCTCAATGGAGGTCTGAAGATCTGTGTCCAGCCCTACTTAGTTCCTTTGGTCTTTGATGTAATGGTTATGACTATACATTGTAAAGATTGCAGAGAAATAACTGCAAGTGTAATAACTCTTTCAGTACTTAGAACATATGACATCAGGCAATCTGAGGTACATGATTATTATCGAATTTTCCCTGAGAACAAGGGACCCATAATAGTTGTCTTATCTGAGATCACCCTTTCAGAGGGAAGCATGAGTTCAGAACTAAAGCTGTGGCCTGGTAGTTCCTGGCAAAGGAACTCTACCGTAGATAGAGATGGTGTACAAGTATTTACCTGTTCTCCCCAACTCAGTTGTGCTTCGTTTCATTTATGCATGTGCGTACTTTTGCTAGGTGTTTTATCGGAAATGTACGCATACAGCATCTAAGGTATGTAGTCTGGTATGTCTTTGGAATGAGGTATCAAATGTGAACCACTATAATGATTTCTATGATCACTTTAGGGCTGGATGGTGTTGCACACCCGTAGTCTCAGCACTAGGGAGTCTAAAGCAGGAAGTTGTCAGATTAGAGTCCAGTGTGTCTTAGACCTTGCCACACACAAACAAGTAAAGCAATGGTAATGAATACATTAAATGAACATTTTATTTTGGGCTCTTTATCTTTGGCAAAATAAAGTTTCCTGGGTTTGCCTTGATGGGCTCCCAGGGCATCAGTCCAAGGGACACTTGGGAACTTGTGCAGGAAGCTGCTTCCCTTTCCTGTGTTTTCATGTTTATGGTGCTGTCTTCTCAGCGCCCAGAGCCTTCCCTGTCGGGACTCAGGAGCTGATATTACTAAGATTTAGATAGCCTTGGATTTCTAAGTTGGTCCAATGAGAAGAACAGATTTATAACTTGGAATAATATGATACACAGACAAAATATTTTTGACAGTTTTCCCTGTGGAAACATCTGGGGCAGTTAATATTATTTTGACAATTATTTGGCCCAAAGATTAAAAACAGCAAAACAAAACAAAAAACTCCATTGACAACAGCAATTATAGTGCAATAATTTTTTCACAGTCAGCATTTGAAACTTTCCTTTTGTTTCTCTGTACTTTCTTCATGAGGTTGTTAAGTGGTCTACTCACAAGTCCCACTGTAGCAGATGAAACCGAACACTTGCACTTAGGAAGGTTCCTTCAGCACCTTCACTATTTTCAAACTAGATTCCTATGGATCTCAGTCTGCTCTGAATATTGCTCTACTTTTCTGCATAGGAATGCAAAGCTGCATGGAAACCACTGTGAATATTTTTACTTTTTATGTTGACTGTCACAAGATTGCATCATAGGACACGTTATTCCAAACCTGACCTTGTGTTGTTGGGGAAGCACCCTACCAGATGTGTTTTGTTCTGTCTGAATATTCGCTTACCCTTCCAGATATGAAGTTAGAATTCCTTTTTGTTTTTAACTTTTTTATTACTTTAATTTAAATACCTTGCTTCACATGTCAATCCCAGTTTCCTCTCCCTCCCCTCCTCGAGCACCCCCGCACCATTCCCCCCAGCCTCCCACCCTATCCCCATTTCCTTCCACATAGGGGATATCCTGAGTCTGTCATTTCACTCAGGTCAGGGTCCAGGCACTCCCCTAAGAGTCCAGGCTGACAGGAAATAATCCAATTGAGGGCTGAAATCAATAAAGTAGAAACTAGGAAAACATTACAAAGAATCAATGCAACGAAGAGTTGGTTCTTTGAGAAAATCAACAAGATAGACAAACCTTTGTCCAAACTTACCAAACAGCAGAGAGTGAACATGCAAATTAACAAAATCAGAAATGAAAAAGGGGACATAACAACGGACTCTGAGGAAATTCAGAGAATCATCAGGTCATATTTTGAAAACCTGTACTCCACAAAATTTGAAAATTTAAAGGAAATGGACGACTTCCTGGATAGCTATCACTTGCCAAAATTAAATCAAGAACAGATAAGCAATTTAAATAGACCTATAACCCATATGGAAATAGAAGCAGTCATCAAAATTCGCCCAACCAAAAAAAGCCCAGGTCCAGATGGCCTCAGTGAAGAATTCTACGAGAAATTCAAAGAACAGCTCATACCAATTCTTCTCAAAGTGTTCCACACAATAGAAGCAGAAGGGACTTTGCCAAACTCTTTCTATGAGGCTTCAATAACCTTGATCCCCAATCCACACAAAGACACAACTAAGAAAGAGAACTTCAGACCAATATCCGTCATGAACATTGATGCAAAAATACTCAATAAAATACTGGCAAGGCAGATCCAAGAACACATCAAAACAATCATTCACCACGATCAAGTAGGTTTCATCCCAGGGATGCAGGGATGGTTCAACATATGAAAATCCATCAACGTAAGCCACCATATAAACAAGCTGAAAAACAAAAATCACATGATCATCTCACTAGATGCTGAAAAGGCCTTTGACAAAATCCAACACCACTTCATGATAAAGGTCTTGGAGAGATCTGGGATAACATGAACATACTTAAACATAATAAAAGCTATATACAGTAAATCAACAGCCAACATCAAACTAAATGGACAGAAACTCAATGTAATTCCTCTAAAATCAGGAACAAAAAAAGCTGTCAACTCCCTCCATACGTTTTCAACATTGTACTTGATGTTCTAGCCATACAACAACAAAAGGGGATCAAGGGGATACAAATTGGGAAGGAAGAGGTCAAACTTTCACTGTTTGCAGATGATATGATAGTTTACATAAATGACCCAAAGACCTCTACCATGGAACTCTTACAGCTGATTAACACCTTCAGCAAAGTGGCAGGCTACAAGATCAACTCAAGAAAATCAGTAGCCCTACTATATATAGATGATAAAAGGGCTGAGAAAGAAATCAGAGAAACATCACCCTTTACAATTGCCACTAACAACATAAAATACCTTGGGGTAATGCTAACCAAACAAGTGAAAGACCTGTATAGCAAGAACTTTGAATCTTTAAAGAAAGAAATTAAAGAAGCCCTCAGAAAATGGAAAGATCTCCCATGCTCATGGATAGGAAGGATCAATGTAGTAAAAATGGCAATCCTGCCAAAAGCAATCTACAGATTCAATGCAATCCCCATTAAAATCCCAGCACATTTCTTCACAGACCTTGAAAGAACAATAATCAATTTTGTACGGAAAAACAAAAGACCCAGGATAGCCAAAGCAACTCTGTTCAACAAGGCAACGTCCGGAGGCATCACCATCCCTGACCTCAAGCTCTATTATAGAGCTATAGTCCTGAAAACAGCTTGGTATTAGCACAAAAATAGACAGGTAGATCAATGGAATCGAATTGAAAACCCGGATATTAACCCACATGTATGATCTTTGACAAAGAAGCTAAAAATATACAATGGAATAAAGAAATCATCTTCAACAAATGTTGCTGGCATAACTGGAGGCTGGCATGTAGAAGAATGCGGATCGATCCATGTTTATCGCCATGCACAAAACTTAAGTCCAAATGGATCAAAGACCTCAACATAAATCCAGCCACACTGAACCTCTTAGAAGAGAAAGTGGGTGGTACCCTTGAATGAATTGGTACAGGAGGCAGCTTCCTGAACATAACAGCAGTAGCACAGACAGTGAGATCGACAATTAACAAATGGGACCTCCTGAAACTGAGAAGCTTCTGGAAGGCAAAGGACACAGTCAGCAAGACAAAAAGGCAGCTCACAGAATGGGAAAAAAATATTCATTAGCCCCACATCTGACAGAGGGTTGATCTCCAAAATTTACAAAGAACTCAAGAAGCAAGTCTCCAAAATACCAAAGGATCCAATTAAAAATTGGGCTGCAGAACTAAATAGAGAATTTTCAATAGAGGAGTCTAAAATGGCTGAGAGGCACTTGAGAAAGTGCTCAACATCCTTAGCCATCAGGGAAATGCAAATCAAAACAACTCTGAGATACCATCTCACTCCTGTCAGAAGGGTTAAAATAAAAAACACCAACGAAAATTTATTCTGGAGAGGACGTGGTGAAAGAGGAACACTCCTCCATTGCTGGTGAGAGTGCCAACTTGTTCAGCCACTTTGGAAATCAGTATGGAGATTCCTCAGAAAAATGGGAATAAACCTACCACAACACCCAGCAACTCCACTCTTAGGCATATATCCAAAAGATGCCCATTCATACAACAAGGATGTCTGTTCCACTATGTTCATAGCAGCATTATTTGTAATTGCCAGAACTTGGAAGCAATCTAGATGTCCCTCAACAGAAGAGTGGATAGAGA